CTAGAAACTTTCACATCTGGTGCAGGTGACAATTTGGAGCTTATTCTTGCTTAAATTCTTTGCTTAGATAGAGAAGTGCGAGAGTGCTGAGGAACATGCCGATGTGAGAGAAAAGCAGTTTCTGTGATCCTCCTCCTATCTCTTACTTTGTTTTTAGGTATCATCCTGGACTTGATGCACTTGAAGAAGCCTGGAGGGTTCGATATCTCTTTGTTCTACAGGGATATCATAAACATAGCAGAGGATGAGGACCTTGGGATCCAGCCTGAGGAGTCAGGGAAACTGGAACATCTCATGAAGAAAGTACGAGCAAAGGAGACGAAGAAACGGACTTTAGTCAGGTTTGTGCCTAGTTACGGTATTTCTTTCAATGGAGGCACCTGATGTTACTTTTAAACTGCATCTCGCCTCCCTCCTCTGGAGTGATGGGTCTGTAAAGGCATCAGTGCTTACATTCCTCAGTCTTAATTCCTAAGTCCAAGATTGTTGTTTCTTCTGTAGATTCCAAGTATTTTTCTCCTTGGTGGGTGAGAAGAGCGGAGAGTGAAGCTAGGCCTCCTTTTTTGCCTCTGTGTGACATCTCCTGTATTGAGCTTGGCCAGAAATGATGATTTTTTTAAAAAAATGACATCATTGCCAAGTAAAATACTTACCAAAAAATCTGCAACATGTAAAATGGTTACTTTATAGTGAGATCTGAATGAAATGAGGCTTTTCTTACTAATGTTAGCTTAGAAAAATTTCATCTCAATGTGACTGATAGGCATTTCGGCCTATTATTAAATGGTTATACGCAGCCAGTCCATCTGGGCACTTGGTGTGGATTCACACAGCCTTGATATTTCTGGTCTCCTACTGAAAGATGAGAGATACTTACAGAGAGATTAAAGGGGTCTTGACAAAGCAGATAGAAGGTATTTTTGGAACCACGTACTCCGTAACAGTTGTTTTTTTTTAATGAATGAGTTCAAAGCAGAATGATGTGGAAGCACAGTAAGGCAAAGAACTTCACAGCCTAGTGTTTTTTTAATGTATATTTTAAAAAAACTCAACCTGAGCTGTTGTCGCTGAAATTCTTGCTCCTGCTTGAAGCTGTATTTTCCTCTTCTGGGAGTGTTCCTCAAGTTTTCTAATAATTGAGGAGGAAGAATCCCATACCGGTGATACCTTTTAGAGAAGAGGAAGTAACATTCACAGTAATTCACTCTTCTACTCTCAGAACTTGAAGATTACCTCCAATTTTAAACCTTTACTTCTGAATTTTTCTGTAACTTCTGATTATTTTTCAAATTAAATCATGGTATTGTTTGTCATGATGAGGTTCTTTTGGGGAATTTTGCCTTCTGGGTGAACAGCTGCGTGAATTCGGAGGTCACATTGCATTAAGCACAAGTGTAGTGTCCAAATGTGATCTTGACCTGTGCTCTGCTTGAGTGTAGCTTCCCTTCGGAGTGAGAAAAGGTGAAAGAAATATGGTAAATTATTTGTGTGTAAATTATTTTTATGACCAGAAGTGACAGCATTGTAAGAATGTTTTTATACAAGTGAGATTATGAATCAAGTACTTGTATGTTTCCAGAGATAAATGTGATTTTTGGGGAGAGAAGAATAGGAGAAGGTCAGAGAAAATAAGGTATCTGGGGAGGTGACTTTCTTTTGCAGAAGTGATCCTTTGGAAGTCTGAAGTCTGTATCTACTTTTTCACACAGGTTAAATCTGTATCTGAACAAAGATCTGTCGCTTGCTGTTGGTGTTTACAACCTTGTTCAAAAAGCTCAGAAGCCATATCCAGTGAAGCTTTATCGGGAAACTAATGAACCGGTTAAAACAAAAACAAGGACGTTTAATGGAAAAACAGGCAGCTTGCTCCTGCCTAGTGACACAAAAAGGGCTCAGGTAACGTATTGATTATGTGCCTGCTTTTTCCTGCCTCTGTGATGTGTGGGGGAGATGCTGTTTCTCTTGCTGCTTTTGTTTGTATTTCACTTTCAAGATCAGATGCAGAAATATTTACATCTGTGTGCCCCTAGAGATAGCCTAGTCACTTTGTAAGCTGTGCAGAGTGAGAGTGGGCTGTTTCTCTGGCACAGCTGTCAAGGGAAAGCATTGCTGCTGGTGGAAGTGCACTCAGGAAGACAGGTCGTTTCTTTCTGTGAGGCAGAACCAGGTTGTCGGAGCCTGACCTTATGTGGCCTTGTGCTATTGCTGCTGGTGTTGTCTTTCGATTCATTAGAAATAGATTTTGTCCATTTTATTAAACATACAAGTGTGAATCATGGGGGGGGGGTGTTGGACCTCTTTTCCAAACAAACAAAAAAAAGGCTTATTACTTTTTTTTTTTGTTATTTTGTTCTTTGTTTTGCCTTCCTGCTTGATATTTTGGCTGATGTAGATTGAATGTCACATTCTGTTCAGGCACAGCCTTATTTCAAAGCAGGATATGCAGTTGCTAGGTATATCGTCACAAGCGCAATTTGCGTGTCCTTCCATGACAAAGGCTCTTAAACTTGTGGTCTTAGATTAAATATTAAGTTTACTTATACTGGACATCAGTTTCTTGAAATAAGGTACAGGAACTGGACAGAAAGCTGAGCCCTAAGCCCTGATATCTGACTTCAGCAGCTGGACCACAATATGTTTTCGTTTTTGTGACAAAGGAGTGGTGCTTCAAAAGCATTGTTTCTCGGTCAATGTTTCTGCCAGGAGTGGGTAGCTGATGTGCTTCTGCTAAAGCAAGTTTAGAATCAGACAGGACCTCTAAAAACATCTGGTCCAACCCAGCCCAGAGCGAGACTCACAAAACCAGATCAGGTTGCTTGGGATTTGTGTGGGGCAGCTCTGAAGAACTCCACAGATGAGATGTGACAGCCTCTCTGTGCCAGGGCTTAACCATTGTCTTAGGAAAGTGCATTTTGCTAATGTCCAGGTGGAATTTCCCTTGAGGTAACGGTCACAGACTGTGACTTGGCATTTCATTGTGCACTAATGATGAGAGTTTGCTCTGTCTTGACTATAACCCTCTTTTCAGTAGTGGAAGACAGCAATTGCATCCTCTTCCTGCCCACTCCCCCCACTGCCTGCAATTTTTTTTTATGCTGGCAGCACAACTATCTGCTCTTCCCTGGTTTAGACATATGGAAACCGCCAGATTGTGCTGGAGAAAGAGGAAACAGAAGAATTGAAACGGTTTGATTCTCCGGGCTTGTTTCTGATTGGCTTCAAACCACTATCAATGCTAAAACAGCACCACCATATCAAGCCCTCCCAGTTCATCTATCCTGAGGAGTCCCTAGTAAGTGGTAAGCAAAGATGGCAAGAGAAGATTCATCACCTTACGTTGGAGTAACCAGCTGATTCATAGTGTGTTTGAGTGGGGATCGTTGAATGTAAAATCTTTGTCTAACTTAAAAACTCGCTAATGTTAAAAAATGTAGAATTAACTGTTACTGCCCCTCTTAGCTGCAGTTAATTCTTGTTTTCTTCACTAACAGAAGAGCTGAGTTTCGTGTTTTATCCATCATGATAAGCAGCTACTCAAACTATGCAGTAGTCCCAGAATATTTGGTTGTGTCACTCATGGAGGTGAAAGATCCTAGTACCTGGCAAGAAGGCAAAGGTGGTTAAAAAAAAACAAACAACCCAAAAGAAATGAAAACCAGACCCCAGACCAGTGAAGATAATTGCTGGTTTTAAGTCCGTATCAGCTAGAAGTGGAAACACAATACTCGGGAAGTACAGTTGAATTAAGCACTTCATGGGCTTGTAAAGAGAAGAGAGGATGCTTAAGACTGCTTTTTCTCCCCTTTTTGTGTGTATATTTAGGTCTACTTATCTAGAAATACACGATTAATCCATCCCAAGCTGTTATAGTAAAGAAAAAGCTCCAGCTTCTCAATCTACTGGTGGATAAAGAGGGCTGAGTTATGACCAGATGCTTTGCAGTGTCTGACTAAAGAAGAACCTTTACAGTAGCTTCTCCAGCTTAGCAGTTTCCTGAATCAAGCACCTTTATATGTCAGTCTTTTCCTGACCACCATATCTGGTAAAATACAAAGCAAATGTGTGCCTTGAGAGGAACATTGCAACGTGAATTCTTAGTGTGTTACTTCTGCAAAAGGTCCTGTGATGGCTGCTGCTGTAATGTCCCACCAGACCAGAAAGAGGCTTTGTAGATACCTGTTTCCAGTTTTCAACCATATTTCATTGCTTCAGATGCTAGTGATCTAATTTCTTTCACCAGAACTCTCACTGCTCTGGTCAGAAGAGACATTAACATTTTAATTTTTGAGGGCTTCCCCTTCCAAAAGTTGCTGTTTACCTCTGGAATATTGCAAGTATCTCAAAGAAGTCACAGGTATTGAAACTGTAATATCTAGGGTTACGTTGCTGAACAAAGGAGCAAAGCTGTCAATCTGACCCATACAGTCTTTTCTTTGCAGGGAGCACAACGCTATTTAATGCCTTGCTGATGAAATGCTTGGAGAGGGAGGTGATGGCACTGTGCAGATACACAGCCCGCCGGAACACTCCCCCTCGCTTCGTGGCCCTGGTTCCTCAGGAGGAAGAGGTGGATGAGCAGAAAGCGCAGATAGTCCCTCCAGGTATGGGAAGAGATGCTGCCTTTCCCTGCATGACTGGATGCAGTCAGCATAATAGCCTCCTGTATTGCGTAAAAATATTCTTGGTGCTGCTCACCTTAAAACTGGGGAGAGTGCTTCCCAACATCCCTTTTCTTCAGTTTTGTCATTGGAAGCATCTGATGCTGAATCTGTTTGTACAACTCCAGTTGCATCAGTGTTTGCTCAGGTGTAAGACCGCTGCAGTATTTTCCTGCCACCTATGTGTTTTTAGCAGATTCAAGTAACTGACCTAAAAACTAAAAGCCCATTTTTCTGTTTGCTGACTAGATGGAATGTTTTTATCTGAATTTTATTGTATCCTTGGATACATTTTAAAGCCTTAAATAAATAATCTCACATACCGAGCCTCACACTGTAACAGCTGAGTGGGGAATGGTCAGGGAGCAAAGGCAGACTCTTGCTCTTTTCCATTTTCTTACCTCCTTAACTGGAAAATCCTCTTCTGGGAAGGATGTAAAGTAAGGGAATAACACTGCTTGTGTGCAATGTAAAGCATTTCAGAAATAAAATGTGGGCATTAACTTAATTTTCAAACAAGCCTTTTTCAAGCTCATATCCAGTGAGAGATGAGGAAGGTGCACAAGCTGATCTCCTGTATAAAAAGCAGGCAACAGGTTTCCCGCTCTTAGCTATGCATGTAGTTTGAATCTCTTTCAAAAAGCCAGTAGTGATGTTGGTTATATACATTGAGATTGGGATTGAGTGTCATGCTGTGGATTCTAGGAGGTATTATGGATTGCCGTTGGTTACAGCAAAACAGTAGCTAGTTTGGGGAGTCATCAGACCTAGCTATTAAGCATCTTGGTCTTTCCCATAAGTTATTGTTTTGAGGCGATGGTTCTGTATAACTGTTCCCTGCTCCCTCCCTCTTCTGCATAGGTTTCCACATCATTTTCCTGCCTTACGCAGATGACAAACGGAATGTTGATTTTACAGAAAAGGTGCCAGCTAGTCGAGAGCAGGTGGACAAAATGAAGGAAATAATTCAAAAACTCCGGTTCAAATACAGGTACATGGAGATAAATAGTGTATGCGTGGGAGGTGGCACGGGGAAGAAAACACAACGCTTTTGCTTGCTCTGTTGTGTATGTTGTTCAGCTGTGGTGCCCACAAGATGGGATTTTGATGCAAATTGCTTCCCTTTGCAGTAGCTTTGTCCAAACATTGTTCTTAATCATTCTGAATACCCAGGCAACACGTGCAGTATGTAGCACGTTCTGGAGTTCTGCATAGAATTGCTCTTGCTCTCTGGGCTGTTGTCATGTGTTGCAGAGGTATTACATTTTATTGTGGTTCTGCCAGTCTACTGCAGATCCAACCTGGATCATTTAAATTAGAGCACTTTAGAAAGAACAGTTAGGGCTTTTTCATTATAGATAGGATAAATTTTATGAAGTGCTTTTATGGGAGATTTTTTCCTAGGTATGTGGGAAGTAGCATAACTGGTATTAAAATAGAATGCCACTGTCTCCATTCGTCTCGCACAGCTTTCTAAGTATCACACAGCTTTTGAACGTGGTTGATGCGTGACGGGTTAGTGATTCAGCAGGTAAATTGAAAAGAGGAAAAACAGTTCTGCTGATGGGATGGATTGTTATGTGGGAAAGAGGGAAGTTTTACTTTGAGCTAGGTTGGTGGCAGATCTTGTGTATCTTGTCTGTCTTCGTGGCAGCATGCATTGACATTTTGGGGGATTCTTGACAGGACTGACAGCTTTGAGAACCCAGTTTTGCAGCAGCACTTCAGGAATCTGGAGGCCTTGGCGCTGGATATGGTGGAGCCAGAACAAGCTGAGGATCTTACAAGTGAGAGTTACTGGTGGGTGCGAAGGGAGGTGGGGTAGAGGGCTCTTGACTTTGTTCTGTCAGAGATGTGCTACTACAGAACCAAAAGCCTTTTAAAAAAATATTTCAGTTGTGTGCACTTCTAAGCTGAAGAATTCTGGATGTATCCATTCTGAAATATTGAAACCTTTCTTTCTAATGCCTTCTCTTTTAAGATAAAGGAAAAATTGATCACTTTACCCTCCAAAATTAAAAATTAAATACCTTTTTTCTGTGGTGACAACTGTTTTCTCTAAAATTCCTCTCTTCAAGAGTCTAATTAATATTTCAGTCTGATAAATGGACAGAATTACTTAGTGAATTATTCTGCTAGGACGTAATGATGCCACCCTGTGGCTGAGAGTTTCTGTATAAGAATATCTTGTCGAAGGATAGAAACCTACTCCTGATGGAGAAGTTCCATTTTTAAAATCGTGTTGTACTCCAGGAGTAGTGTTAGAGTTACTATTTCCTAACAAATAATCTAGATCCCTGTGCTAGATATCATACAAATACATGACAGAAACAAGCTGTTCTGCCTCAAACTACTCACAAGCTTAGGTAGTAACCTGTTGTATTTTAAAATGTCTGACATTAGACCTGGGTAACAGTGCAACCAGGTAGGAGATCTTTTATATCACTTCCACATGTCAGTTTTGTTCTGTGTATATATTTCCTCTTCAGGGATATGTGTGAGTCCATTACGTACTTAGAATACAAACTCTTGGTATTACCAAGAGCTGTGTGTTTCTTATTTGTGAACATCATAACACATTTTTTGCATTTTGCGTGCTTGCAAGACACTTGCGTGCTAGTTCTGTTGATGGCCTGATTTAGACTTTCCTGTGATTGCTTTGGTTTTGAGAGAGCAAATCGTTCTCTTTTACCAGTGCCAAAGGCTGAAGAGATGAACCGCAGGCTGGGCAGCCTGGTGGAGGAGTTTAAGCAGCTGGTTTATCCCCCTGACTACAATCCTGACGGGAAGGCTGTAAAGCGAAAACAAGGTAAGTCATGATGGTGCAGACATGCAACATGGTGTCTGCGCCCTTTGTTTCGAGGCTTCTGTGTTTTCAGTTTGTCTCACAGCTGAAAGAAGCTGCTTGTGCAGTAATTCTTTACTCGTCTCCACAACAAAGTTGACTTATATCCAGTGGTGATTCTTAGAGAGTAGAGGATATTGTGGTATCCAGCTAGAGAATCATTGGAATGAGAAACTGCATAGTGAAAAAACAGACAAGTATAGGAAGAAATTTGGGTAAATTACTGCAAAATATGTGTTTATTAATAATTATAAAAATAATAATAAATAACTTCAGTTTTTCTAGAACTCATGCTTTCAGTTTGTGTTCTTGGTGAGGAAGCATGCTTTTATGCGTGGACTGTTTAGCAAGTCCAAGATATGCTTCTTTAGGGCTAAATGTCAAAGTAATGCTGAAGTACGCGTGTAGTTTGGGAGTCCACGAAACTCTGCATAAAGTGGAAGTGTCAGTTAGCTGAACTCCCTGTGGAATAGTTGCATTTTCCTGCTTAGATGAGAATCCCTTAAAAGTTTCGTTTGGGGGTGGGTGATCTTTCCATCAGAATGCAAAGTCATACTTGAGTTTGAGATCACTCCTGTCGATGTAATATACTATATGGCTTATATAGCGAGTGACGGCTACTTCATAAAACAAAATATGGAAACTAGGTCTGTCAGTGTGTAGATAACTGTTAAATGTAGATAACTGTTAAAGTACCGTGTGCTAATGGCCATTTACTGTGGCATGTATAAGAAACGTTGATGTCTTTCTATTAAGAAACTTTGTAGAATCTTGGTGATCTAAAATTTATCTTTCTAGCTTCCGATGGTCAAACTGAGAAGCGGCCCAAGGTAGAGGTCTCAAAAGATGAGCTGCGGAGTCACGTGCAGAAGGGCACTCTGGGCAAGCTCACTGTACCTGTGCTGAAGGACGCCTGCAGGGTTTGCGGGCTGAAGGGTGGGGGGAAGAAGCAGGAGCTCATGGATGCGCTAACTGAGTACTTCAGTGAGCACTAAGCAGGAGCGGAAGACCCTGGTTGACTTCCATCTGCTTAAAGTTTTGGTTGTCTTATGTGGATGCTGTGTCTGTTTAATCTTGCTGTGGAGGAGGAGGCGACTAAATGTTGCTGACTAGCAGTGGAGAAACTTTTTACTCTTAGTTGTGAAACATCTCTGCAAAGTTGGACTCTGTTCGCAGTAGCCAAAGGCAGCATTAAATTCCCTGCTAACTCAGGTCACCCACTGCAAGTAAACACAGCTGTGCCTTCCTGGTTTCTTAATAAAAGTTATTTTGGACTTCTTTCTTACTTTGCAACATTGGCTATACCGTCTTTGCATCATAAAGACAGCAGCCCTTACTTCAGTGTAAGAAAACAGAAAGATCTGTGTTAATGGCACCGCACGAATTCAAGCAGCAGGTCAAGTCTGTGTGCTAACAGAGGGTAAAAATGTGGTGTATTACTCTCCTGCTCTCCACAATACTCAGTCGGTATCAGTACTTGTAATCAAGTTGGGTTCTTTTCCACCATTGGCGTTATAAAGATTACCGGCAGATCATAAAGGAGAAAATAATTTCTGGGAAGCAGCAGACAATCCTTTGGGCAAAAACCCAGCACTTCAGAAAGCTGCACAGCCGGGTCTCCCATTTTTAAATGGCAATAGCAAAATCTGGTTTTAAAAAAGGGAAAAAAAAAAAGTTATGTTCCCTGGAAGGCTGCACGCACTTACCCCAATTAAATTGCTGAGATGGCATAGAGCTTCTCCACCTCTGTAGCGAGTATGAGTCAGACTATTGTGCAGGCTTCTGCACTCAGATCTGTGCCTTAAAACTAGAAAAATAGCAAGTTGTGGAGAGTAGCCCTTCTTTCTTCCAGCGTTTTTATTTTTTTAATCATACTTCTGGAGGGTGCAGCTGGAGCTGTCTATGTTTTGGCTTTTAAACTTCCACCCCTGGCATGCCCCACCTGCTTGCAGTGCAAGATGGCGAAAACCAATAAATAGTCATTGCCCTTGCTCTAGGAAACAGTACTAATTTTTTAGCTAAACTGTAGTTTTGTACAGGATGCAAACATGGGATACATGAGGTATCCATTTTGGTCCATACAGTGTTTTTTGTGTTCAGGAATTCCTGTGTTTGGCACGCAAACTCTGAGGCAATTTGTTGAAGAATTAGGTGATATATTACAGTTGTGCTGCTGCTGTAGCGTGGCACACGTGTCGGAGCTGCCTGTGACCACTCTCTTGGCACTGTGGCTGCCCTGGCCATGCCACCACGCTGTTCCTTTCCACTCCACAGCTCCTCTGGGAAGAGCAGCCAGCCCGTGTTGAGCTCTGCAGCGCTGAAGCTACGTAGTCTATTATACTTTCAATCAGCCTGCATTACAGTAGTTATTTGTAATAAAGATTTGTCTAAGCAATCATTTATTTGCCCTTAGGCAAAGGAGTTACTGTAGATGCTTCTGTTAGCGAGACTTGAATGCAATAAAACAGCGAGACTATCCTGTCCTTAATTCTGTGAATTTTCATTCCCCAAATGCCCTTGTTAACTTCTCTCCTGGCTTGCTAACCCCCAGGCACAGTATGTTCCAGGCTTTGGATGATTATGGTATGTTTTGTCTAGGTTATTAGATTTTGCTCCTGGCTTTTTTTGGGTTTTTTTCATAGCAGGCTATTGCATTAAGCTGAAGTTTAACAGAGATAGTGATGGAAGTTTTCAGAGCAGAAAATCGGACAGTTTTGCTTGCTCAAGAATCCTTTATTTCTGCTTCTTATGTGCTCTGTCTTACATCAGCTGTCTTGACATGGTACCATAGGGCAAGTCCTTTGTGAAGTTGTGGTTACGAATGTGACTAGTTAAGTCAGTATCGAAGGGAACAGCAGACTTTCTAAACCTCATACAAATGGAAGGACTCTAAATAAGTTCACCTCAGCAAGGATGTTAGCATCCATTTACAAAAACAGGTAGAGACATGATTTCAGTCTTTGGTGAGTTGATTTCACCTGCCTGGGATGTGCTTACTGAAGTTACAAAGTCAGTACCTCTGTGGAAACACTACAGAACTTATTTTCCCTTCTGCTGTTGCGCCTGTTGGTCTTCCCATGCTAGCTTTGCTTTGGCAACTTGCTACATTAGACAGGTTTGATATGACCCATCCCAACACAACGGCGTAGACTCTTCTGCTCAGAGCAGTAAGTGGATTTATTATACAGTATGCATTTAACTAAAGTTAGCTCCATAAACCCACCACTAATCCAGAATGCTGGTGGTGCTTCATGCTTTTCCAGAGCATGAGATTATCTGACACTCTCTTCTTGAGGCACAAGTTTTACCTGAAAAATGACTTGCTCTTTGTTGCCTTGGCCATGATTGAAAGGGTTTAAGTCAGATGGCCACAGTACAGCAGCTTCCCTAAAAGCATGAGATAGCTACTTGTCAGCCACAGCAGGCTGCTCTCTACCCTGTGTTTTGTAAACACTGTAGGAAGCCCAAGCTCGTTGATGCAGCCCACACAAAGAAAGCTGAAGGAGTAAGAACTACTACACTGCAGCAGCCCTCAGACAATCTCCAAGCAGTTCTGCATTACAAGCAGGAACACTTCAGTTAGTTGCAAATGCTTCCCCGAGGGAAATGACAATTATATTTAGCTGTGTTAGCAATTTTATTTTTCTTTAAAAGTTAGTATTTAAAAATAAGTGAGATAAGAGATTTCCCCTTACGCACTGCCGTAAGATTTCTGCTCCCCATTACACCTCTTAACAGGAGTCTTGTCTGGTTTCAAGAAAAAGGGTTATGCTTGGTGTATGACCCTGGCTCCATCCGCTGCTACAGAGGAGCCGCTGCCTGCCTTGTACCTGGCCTACGCTGCTCCACCATTAAGGCAGCAACTCCAGCAGCCTGCACACACACACCGAGCGGGGAACCGGCATGCCTTACCCGCAGTGGACTGAACCATCCAGAAACGCAGTGTTGCTCACACCTGTTAGAGGCTGAAGCTTAGCAGAAATACTGCAAAACACAGAGGAAGCTAACAGGGGGGTTAAAAAAAGCCCTAAGCAAGCAGACATGGAGATAAGGGCAGGGTAGATTTTTTTTTTAAACATCAAACAGGAAATACAGTTGTACAATCACTTTTGAAGAAGTAATACAATGAGAATGAATGTGTTGGAGTGGAGTAATACAGAAGAGGGGGAAGGAGAGGCAGAAACACTAGAATTAAGCCATTATTAAACAAAAATGTGGTGGTTTGAAATGAAACACTGATATCAAAATTATCATCTCAACTGAAGCTAGACATTAATTCCCCTGACTGCAACCTTCCTATTCCACAGACACTTAAACTCATGGGCAGTTAGACCAACAGTCTTTCTATAGCTTGCTGGACAGACTGGATCTGAGGCTTTAGCTGTGATCCCTCCTTGATGGTGATGGAGCAGGCGATGACCGGCCGGGAAACACCACAGGCCCGGCCCAGGGCTTGCTTGGAGCGCACAAACACGTAAGGTACGTTCTTGTCCTCGCAGAGAAGAGGGAGGTGCAGGATGATCTCCAAGGGCTCTGCATCTGCCGCCATCACAATGAACTCCGCTATCCCTCGGTTCAGTGTTTTGGTGGCTGTAGAAGAAACCGAAGGGTAAGACTAGGCCTTTCTGGAAAGCACATCTAATGAAAGACAACATTAGGAGATGCCGAAACTGGCACGAGCAAGGAAGAGATCTAGTGGTAGCAGGACAGGCCAAAGGAAAGTGGCAGCTCCAGGGCCAAGGTGGTGGTTATTCACAGGGCTGCCCCTGGTGTTCTGAGCCCAGCAGAGATTCAGAAGGGAGCAAGGCCAGCCCAGGGCTGCTGACAGGGAGGGGACTGGGGCACAGCACAGGGGAGGGGAGACTGAGGGCAAGTTTTGTTTGTTTAGCCTGGGGAAGAGAGCCAAGGTGGGAGCTGGGGGGATGTGGCTGCTGTCCTCTACTCCTTCAAGGGGACTGTAGAGAAGACGGACCCAGACTGTCCTCATGAGCGCATTCGAAAAAGGACAAATTGCAGACCGACTGCTGCCTCCAGGAGATTCTGGGGACACGGTGGAATTTTATATTCCCCCTCCCCCCTTATGAGAGTGGTTTAAGCCATGGGAGGTAGGTCCTGAGAGACTGTGCAGTTTCTATCCTTAAGGATTGCTTTTTAAAAAGTCTGACCAGGCAAATTCCTGAGGAACCTGATCCAGCTGCGAAGGGAGCCACTCCCTGAGCAGGCTGCACTACAGACCTCCAGGGGTCCCCTCAAACCAAACCTTTTTGATTCTAAACTGGCTAGGCATCTGGTAATCCCAGTGCCACACCACTAAAGTATGCATGATCACAGGACACGCACCAGGAACACAGTCTGGGCATCTACCAGAACTGTATACAAATGTTGGAAAAGATTACAGCTTAGTTCTGTCTCTGAGTATTGCTTAAGCAGGGTAGGAGAGGGACACTCGCAATATCCAGATCCATGTAACATTAGTGGCCCACCACTGGAGAGAAGCGACAATCCCTAGCCACAGCTTCTCACAAAATCCTCACTACGATTTCTAGCACGCTTCACAACACAGAGGTCTCACCTTCATTGGCTCCCTTGCGTAGCTGCTTATAGTTGCAGGATTGCTGCACAAGGTCCAGCAGCGTTTTGGTGAGCTGCGCATCAGCCAGGGGGTAAGCTTTGGGATTCACTTCGGCCTCACTCTAGAGAAAGTAAAAAGTAGAGAGTATTAGAAGAGGTGCAAAGGGGACTTTGTGCTGAACAACACTGCATAGGCATCATGGCCACCACATACTGACTAGTGGAGTCACATTCTTGGCTGCTCTGCACACACACTAAAAATCCCAGTGCATTTTATTTATAAAAAGAGATTCTTCTCATATTCAAAGCAGACAGCACCTCTGCTCACACAGGCAGCCAATTCTGACCCTACAAACCAGTCGCAGTGAACTTACGGGGCAGTCTCCAGACATTTGCCACCACGGACGCTACACAAAACGAATTGCTGCGGTGCACGAGGAACAAGCTCCTGACAGCAGCAGACCGCCAAGCTCAGGCGCAAAGTTTTCAATAAATCCCGAGAAGAGCACGCACCGGGCTTATTTCCCCAAAGCAGCAGCAGCTTATAAAGGCTCACAGCAACGAAGC